CAGGGCGAAGTGTTCTCTGAAGGTGTAGCGGGTAGAGCACTACAGTGTGCGACAGAAATACTTTTTGCCTTGTGTATCACTGGTTTTGAAGAGATTGATGCGGGGTTCGGGACCTTACTAGTGTTCTCATAATTTTCCACTGAGCCAGTTGCAAAATGGGTCACGATGGGCGCGATATTTGCAATTAAAGACGCCAGAATTGTTGACGCGTTTGTGTCCGCCTTGGTTTTAACCCAGGTGTCGATAAGTTCTAGGAAATCTTGGGCAAGGCCAAGTCTTTCCTTTCTTTCGTGTTCTGCCTTCTACATTGCATTCGCAATGCCTAGCAGGCTTGGATGGAGTTGCCCTCCGGGATTGGAAGGCGTTGATGATGACGATGCAACAGCGGGTGCCATTGCATCAGTTGAGGGGTCTATTGGTGGGTGATTTTAATGCAACGATAAGGTGAAAAAATGGACCGACTCGCCGTCAATGTTGTTTTTCGTGACTGATTAAGATATATATGTATATGGATCCATGTAAATTTGTAGCAGGAGATGGCCAGTTTTTTATGAGGCAAATGTCCGATCACGATTGGGCTAACACCATTATCGGTATTTGAGGCGAGGTGTTGTAGTAAGATTGAGGTCGAAGACTCGCGTGAGAATGATAGGGCCGATATTGACGAGAAGTGTTCGATTTTAGATATACTTGAGATTGCTTTCGGTTTCGATTCGTATTGGCAATACCGCGCAATGAAATGGGTGCAATATTCATCGAACGAAAGTAGAAGTTGACTGAGACGATGTCATGTTCGAACTAATAATAAAAGAGTGCAAAGTGTGCGCTGCAAGTGAGGTTTCCGAGCGCGCGTTTGTTTGTTTCCTATTTTTCGTCCGTCGGGGCGCCAAGCTTGACTTAGGTCCCTACTACCCACTAAACTACCTAGAGGCATGGACGCCAGTGCTTACTGCCCTGGTGGCTTCGCCCTTGCTACTTCCTAACCAGGTTTTCAGGGCAATTCTCTAATTACATGATTGCGTGTAGCATAGCACCTGCACTTTTTCAGCCAGTCCCCGAGGCTCTTTACTCATTTGATGTATAACAACCACTCTCGAGCGGGAACGAAAAAGTGAGGCGTAGACAAAAAGAAGCGGGCAAGATAGGAGCGTTCCAGGACTGGGAAACCGCATGGAATACTTTTAAGGAAGAACGACTATCTTCTCATCAGGCGTCAGCAGACCCAGAACTTTGGACAGCAGCAAGTATAAGCACCGACAAGAAAACAGGTAGAAAAAGAATCACCTACAGAAACACACCCTCTAACATTCACCGAAACCTGAGCAGGGCCCAAAGTAGTATTGCAATACAAATAAGAAGTGAGCATATCGGCCTCAACTCTTATCTTTATAGAAGAAAGGTCCCTGGAGTGGCAAATCCAAAGTGCCAGTGTGGATATCCGTCACAAAACGTTAAACATATGGTCATGGCTTGTCCGCAGTGGGCTAAGGGAAGAGGAGAGGTGCTGCAACGGGCAAAAGATAGGTCTTTCGAAGCTATGATGAACAGCCCGGAAGACATGAAGAGAATTACAGATTGGATACTTAAAAACGGCTGGCTTGAACAGTTCCGGCTTGCAGAAGAAGTTGAGACAGCAGTCAGCGAAAGGATTGAGCGATCGGGAAAAGGATAGGACGATATTCACACTGGACGCACAGTGTAAGCGCACTTCCTGTAGGAAACATCGGAAATCATATAGACACGAGACAGACAGTTGTGGGGGGTTTTTACCAAATATGGTTTCCTCCTGTGTAAATATTATAGCTAGATATTCCTGCATGGGCCCATAGGGTACCTGAACGGGCTAAATGAAATCAAATCAAACCACTCTCGAGATACTACTAATAGATCCATTTATAAATACCGCACCATCCATCCATAATGCAAGGCTCAGAGTTGGGGCAGAGTTGAAGACCGATTTATTTCTTCTCTGGGGTTTCTAGGGCAGGTCTTTATGTAAAACTCTGAAATAGAAAGCCACTTTGCTACACGTAGGGCCCCTTCCCAGGTTCCTAGCAAAATTTTCTATGGATCCCTTGAAGATGCTGGAGCTCGAGGAGGTCTATGAGCGGTTAGGTCGCAATCTAGGAAGTGCAATGGAGCTTTGAGCTTTCCGCAGCCATAATGAAGGTTAGCGCCCTCGTGATTGAAATGGCGGTGGTACTCTGCAAAGTCACCGTGTCCTGAGCGGGCAGCGTATAGTCTGGAGAGAAATGGTCTGGATAGTGAGAGTTCCTTAGGGTTACGAGAGTATGAGTCAATGGCAAGCTCCCTATAGGATACTGGGGCATATTGGTCCCAGTAGTCTTTCATAGCCGTCGATACTTCTGCCTTGATGCGATTTTTCGCGGTATCAAAAGAAACGTACCCACGGGGTAAAGGCGGGGTTTTTGAAAGCCACTCCCGGGCAGAGGCGTCGGCCAAAACGTTACCCAATATATCAGATTGGCTTGGGATCCAATAAGCCTTGACTTTCCCGGGAGAGATGTGTGGGAGCCGGGTGCGAAGAGGCCAGCTTCCGAGCGCGCGTTGTATAATTACTAAATGATGTGGTGGGCGTAAGAATGAAAGTGTATCACGTGGTGTCTCGTGGCTCCTAACTACAACGGATCTTGTGTAGAGCTTGAGACTGATACGTGAATTCTATATCCTTCAAGTGTAGGATTTCTATGTGCCTATATACATTGATTCCTCCTTACCCCTCACACTCGTAGATCTGCTGCTGTGGCCGTGCGATTTCTTGCGTGTGAGGTCATAGGATAATTACAATTACGTGTGTGTCGTGTTGCCTACATCTGGCTAACTCGTGCCCTGTAGATCTATCCGGGATCCACACAAGTATGAGTGTAAGCGACACGGCGCCTAAGCCACATCACAAACGAGTGTGGCGCCCTCTAGCCATAGAAAACCCCCGATAACCTCCTTGTGCCCACGCCATACAGCCGTTCATGAATTCAATAGGTAGCCTGAAGCGCTACCATATTATTCGTTCCAACCTCTTAAATACACACAACATTGTGTCGGGAACCTAGACGAAATGGAGGACCCGTACGTCCACAACACTCTGAGTCTCCATTTTCAACATATCTGAGATATGTCCTCATACGTCACTCCCATAATTGGAGATGACGTGATCGCCTTCAATTTGATTTTGAAATCTTTAACGTGACAGGACTAACCTAACATCTATTCAGACGTGACACGGGATAATCGCCTTTAATCTTTTTTTTCATCAAATTATAATTGCGTATGCAGCTATCAAGCTGTTATGACCAGTCATCCTCGAAGAAGTTTCAAGGAGAAGGTTTGTGAAGCTCATCAATCCTATTCACGTGATATTTAATCGAGATAAAGTAACTAGCATACCTAAATAAAGAAATCTTTATGCTCTGTTATCACAACAAGGTTCCCGGGAAAAATCTGATAGTTTAAAGATGGAGGGGCTGACGTCATAATCATATCTATTTCAGCCTTTGTTGAGTTCTTGTCCGGTCTTGTGCCAGACTTAAGGAAGCTGGAGCTGCCACAAAGTAGCTCTCCAGCTTCTCAATCTTTTGATCTTTAATTTTGCAACCTGGCATTTCTATAATATTATTATACTTATATTCTCACAGTCTGATATTCTCAGTCCTTCACTGTTCATTACATTCTTCGTAATTCTTTTGACCTTAAGTCGTCAGACTTGATCGCTTGCTCAGCAACTCGACTTCTTGACTTCGTGTCTCTCGACTATCCTGTACTTCTCCGACCGTTAAGCACCTAGCACCTCGCCAGTTGAATTGTATCTGAGTATCCTTCGTTAGTAGCTATAATCTTAAAAGTTATTAATATATTATCTTCGGCAGACGGCGATCTTTTGTGTCCTCAGCGCACGCCGTAACACTAGTTGTAACATGATATGAGAGAAAAAGTACAGAATAGATGACTCAATAATAACTGGAATGATAATGCCTCGAATTTCATTTGCAAGTACCACTGCGAAGTTGTGGCGGCTTTTTCTTCACCCCAAGTCAACCCTCATCCGTGAATACCCATCCAGGGGAATATCTCAAAAACCCTGAGTTATCTAGAAATGCCTCCATTAACCATTAAATTTTCTCCGCGCGAAATGTCATCTGAGATGTCTCCTTCCCAAGTGGAATAGGTGCCCAGACCACTCAAACTATACTGGAGATCATCACCAGGAGACGTACCATGGCGTATTCCATCGTTGGCTTGTTTTTATAGTGTCAACTGCATTCTCGCATTCGAAGTCTTGGCGCGCACAAAGCTCAGCTTGTTTAGCCCCTTGCCAAACTTCAAAATTTCACGTCCGTCAAGATTGTATTCATCCTCTGCATCATCTTGTGAACTATTTCTGATCCCTCTCAGGTCCATCCCAAAGAACTGTCTCTCAGATTTGTGCGCCACGCTTTGTTTCTTTTGTCGGATATAAATAGCGGCGTGAGCGTGTATTTGGCGACCAGCTGAGGCCAGAGAAAGTTGACGAGAGGTGTGGTCATTGGAATGAGGATGTACTAGGTCGTACTTGTAGACTTGATGAGACTTGGGTAGGAGTCAAACTAGTTGGGAGCGAAAAAACGACGCAGTGTATTAATTTGAATTTTTGCCTCGTGGGCCAACTTCTTTGATATTGTTAAATTTGACTGAACTTGGCTTTGGGAGAATGTTTACCTCCTAAGTGAATAAAGAGCACCGCCGATAAGTGATTAGTCTTTATCCCACGCGGAACGTAGGGCTGGGCTAGTCAGTTACATCTATCGAGCCCCTGTCTAATCCTTGGATATGTCCAGATGACGTCACACTTTGATTTTGTGTCAAATGCCACCAATAATTACAGTATTCATCGCATGACCTTCGCACAGTACAACTCCTTCTCCGTGCCGAAAAAGTCTTTTAATACTGAGCTAAACCACTGCAATATTAATGTTGGAATAACCATCTCCATATAACATTTAAGAATGCTTCAATATATACCATTCAAAAAATTCAAAAAACAGCAGTCTGAATGCTCAACCCTTCATACAAAAAGACCTGTTCTTGACACTAAGAATGAAGATTTTCTTCAGAAGATCATCTTCTCACCCGAAGAAGATAATAGGCTCAATACAGCACTAGAAAATATCGATTCGACAATTAGCGCCAAGTCTGATACGGAGCAAAGTAACAAAGATTTCAAGTATGAAAATCTCAAGCCTACTCAATCGAAGAAATTCCCCACCTTCTTCTTTAAGACAAGCGGCACAAAAAAAAGAAAGGTTTGTTGATCAACAAGCTCATCATTAACTCCTCGCTTCAATATTCCTCGGTCTTCACTAACTATTTATTGACCTAGGGGTCTAAATTATCAGCTGATGATGAAAAAGTAATCACTCCCTGCGACGTGAGTAATGAAGCTACACGAGAAGAGCAAGAATTGACACAGGTCCTCGAGGATCTCAATCTATCAGTCTCTAACAACAAGGCATTTTTTCTCTCAAGTGTATCGACGGAGCTAATACGTAATTTTACTATTGTGCTCAAAGATCTCATAAATGGCGTTCCAGCAGCCTATGGTGACCTCGAAAATCTTCTTGAAACGTCGCACAGCACTCTCAGCAGCGCGTTTGAAGACTTACCGAGTTTTATAAAAGTTTTAGTTAAAAAAATGCCTGGAAAATTAGACAAGAGATTATCTCCAGAATTACTCGGAACAGCTTCCATGGTACCAAATTTGGTATCTAAAGGAGAAGCATTTGATTTAAAAAGCTTAGTTACGAACTCAGGTACTTTAGTGACCCTTTTGAGGATGGTCTTTAACACACTTAAACTTCGTTGGCCAGCATTTATGGGTACAAACATATTATTGTCATTGTCACTTTTTGTCTTACTCTTCATCTTGTGGTACTGTCATAAACGAGGAAAAGAAGAACGTCAGAAACGCGAGGCGGAGTGCGAAAATTTGGAGATGGAAACTATGCCGGATGCGGTCTTGGGGGATCCTACTGTACCATAAAATACTCACTATCTCCAGACATGGGAGGTTCAAGACTTCAAACCCTCCTAATCCAAAAAAATTTCGAATACCACGTTACTTTAATTGTTGACTCTATGGTGTAGTAATATTATCAGATCACATCGTGTTGGGGTTGCTTGGAAATTTCACTTATCTCTCTGTTGGTCACGCATTGCATGCGGAAGTAATGAATCTAATATATACCCATTCAGCACTCTTGAGTAATCAATCGTGGTACTAAAGATTTCTAGATTTTCCTGGTATCAATAATTGAGATATTTAGAGTTGATAAGTTTCATTTTAATTGACTAGGTGTGCTTTTGTCCTGATTGTTTGATGTTGTGGATGTGGGAATGATTTCATTCTCCATGAGACGAAAACTTAACGCCTGTCAGTGGTGTCCCCTATGAACCTCCAGCTCTCACTGTGGAATCTGTAGAGCCGAGATTGAGTAACAAAGTTCTCACTTCGGTGAGAATTCCCAATCGCTTTCGCCATCTATGTCGTCTTCATCTCTCAACACACCCCCCTATCACCATAATTATGAAGCTAACCACGATCAGATCAGATGGTAGGGTCGAAGCCCTTCTCATCACCCATCCTTGCTCACTGAGGAGAAGCCATCCCATGAGTTTCTGCAGCGTACCCAGCACCCGATACGGAGATGGTGGATTGGATCAAGTCGGCATCTACTGTTACAAAGAAGGGAGATATTGTTCGGATTAGGTCCTGGTCAACGATGTCTAGCCTAATTGTGCTATGTTGCAGGCTACTGTTACAATTATTCATGGGGTCATGATCAGGGTTGTGAGTAGTTTCGGTTTTGGTGTGGGTTTTTAGATTGATACGTAAGCGTGTCGCATAGTAGTCAGACATGCGACTCGAGTAGCATATGCACGGTAGACCTCAAACCCAAAATGATGATACGAATCAGGCTTTACATGCTACGTCCTGTATGGCTAGCGTGGTTGGAATATGGGGAATTTACCTGTAGATAGATAAAGACGTTGTAGCCCTCTGATAGTTGGGACAAGTCTTCTACAATATTATATCGGAATCAATACTAGCCACTCATTAAGCGATCTCATGAATTATTTCCAATGTCTGTGATAACAGACATACATCTACAATGTCGACAACACGTTCAATGTCGATAAGATATAGATGAATATGCGCACCTCATGTGGTCCCGGTGTCTAGGTCTCGCCTGGCTGGGGCTGCAGGTTTTTTGAGCCTTTTTCCCGCGCACGCAGTTTCCATTGCTACCATTTTTTTTTTTTGGGTAGAAGGTTCCGTGGAAAAGGTGGCCGAATTCCACGGGTAGATACTGAGCTGAATGGCTATTCATCAAGGGGAATATATCGATGATCTTTCAAGAAACATGAGAGGCAAGGAGCACTATACAAGGTGTGGCCTGGGTCAGAGAGGAGCCCAATGTGCTAGATAGTCATAGACTCAAGTAGTACAATAAAAACATCACACCACATCAAGGTTTTGACAAATTAGCCAGGAGGACTTCAACTGTCGATGAGTCAACGGCACTCTCCAGCGCCCGGAACGGCACAAAAGAAGTTAGGCTAAGCAATCACGCTCTGTCAAGACTTTTATCACGCTTAAGCAAGACCGTCGGAAAAGAGTTGGATGGAGGATAGAAAGATATAGTGTTAGTTTCCCGAGGTACACACAAGTCTGCAGCGCCCAGCTGGCCGGCCTCTTCGAACGCTTCAGAAGGGGCAATATGTCTTCGGATTTATTCCTAATGTCGGTATTAGAAGAGCCCCGCACCCAGTGGTTTTTGCGAATTTTCCCGGCTGCCATACACCCGCAAATGGCCATCGTTTCGTTGGCTGGAGAGGAGAGATAATGAAGGGCAAAGGGCTCCTCTAAGTGTGTGGTCGAATGAGAACTTGTGAGGGGTGGTACTGTTTTAGGGGTGCTGTATGGGAGGGATAGGAAGGGATATACTACTGGCATAAATATCCTTGGCCTATAGACAAATAGGACCTATATATCCTACATAATTATAGACTCAGAAAAGACAATAGTAGGAATTAATAATAAATGGCCTTTTATAAAACTTAGAGGGATCTTCGTGTGAATGTCACGTGAATAGTCAAAAGATGAAAGCGAATACAAGAATGAATTTCATTTAGCCCGTTCAGGTACCCTATGGGCCCATGCAGGTGAGTGCAGCTGACACTATAAAAACAAGCAAACGATGGAAGGTGTTGTGGTCCGCCTCTTGGTGATATTCTCTGGTATGGTTTGAGTAGCCTGGGCACCTACTCCACTTGGGAAGGAGACATCTCAGATTACATTTCACGCGGAGAAAAGTTGATGGATGACGGAGGCATGTCTGGATAACTCAGGGTTTTTGAGACGTTCCCCTGGGTGGGTATTCACGGATGAGGGTTGACTTGGGGTGAAGAAAAAGCCACCATAACTTCGCAGTGGTACTTGCAAATGAAATCCGAGGCATGAGTGCTCTTCCTGTAAATTCAGTCATCTATTATACACTTCTCTGATATTGTGTCATAGCTAGATAGCTGCATACGCAATTAAAATCTGATGCAAAAAAAAAAAAAAAAAAAAGGGCCCATGCAGGTATATCTAGCTATCATATTTACACAGGAGGAACCCCTATTCGCTAAAACCCCTTCATAACTGTCTATCTCGTGTCTATTTGTTTTCAGAGGTTTCCTACAGGAAGTGCGTTTACACTGTACGTCCAGTGTGAATACCGTCCTATCCTTTTCCCGATCGCTCAATCCTTTCGCTGACTGTTGTCTCAACTTCTTCTGCAAGCCGGAACTGTTCGAGCCAACCGTTTTTAAGTATCCACTCTGTAATTCTCTTCATGTCTTCCGGGCTGTTCATCATCGCTTCGAAAGACCTATCTTTTGCCAGTTGCAGCACCTCTCCTCTTCCCTTAGCCCACTGAGGACAAGCCATGAACATATGTTTCACGTTTTGTGACGGATATCCACACTGGCACTTTGGATTTGATACTCCAGGGACCTTTCTTCTATAAAGATAAGAGTTGAGGCCGATATGCTCACTTATCATCTGTATTGCAGTAACACTTTGGGCCCTGCTCTGGTTTCGGTGGATGTTAGAGGGTGTGTTTCTGTAGGTGATTCTTTTTCTATCTGTTCTCTTGTCGGTGCTTATACTTGCTGCTTTCCAATGTTCTGGGTCTTCCGACGCCTGATGAGAAGATAGTCGTTCTTAAAAGTATTCCATGCGGCTTCCCAGTCCTGGGATGCTGCTATATTACCCGCTTCGTTTTGTCTACGCCTCACATTTTTGTTCCTGCTACAATAATGAATTGATTAATGTTCTACGTGCTACGATGAACTCGTAGCACTATAATATCTAATTCTACCCTATTAACGCCTCTGATCATCATTACTAGTCTGACATGCCTGCACGCAGATCGTGCTTTCGCTTTTGGACTGGATCCAGACTTATGCTTACATAAGTCTACTTACACCTTTTGTGTAAAAATTATTCAATAATCCTGATTTGGCGACTTACGGCTCAAGCAGGAAATTTTGGAAGATGAGTCTTTTAGGAAGAATGATTAATTTTCATTTTTGAAATACTTACACTCAGATTTCATTTGCAGATACCACTCAAAGTTATTCTTCACGACGTATAACCTCTTCCCTGTAAACCTATCACAGAGAAAAGGTTTAAGCCCTTATCGTTAACTGGGTGTGTTTTCGTCACCCACAAATACGAAATCACAGTGAGAAATGTGATTGTGTTTTGCCGGATTCAAACCAGCGATTTCCTGTCTCGAATGGGATATATGTCCTGCCCATCCAGAATCTACTTGAGAGACCTGCCCAGATGATGTACTACCGCACTATCTAGACACAGCGGTCTTTATAGCGTCACCTGCACTCTTGAAAATAAAGATGTCTAGCGCAAAATACTAATTCAGAAAAATTATTCGCCAATTTCAAAAGTTCATGCCTGTCGATATTGTATTTATCCTCTGCATCATCTTGTAAATTTGTCTAGATTTTCCTCACGCCCATTCCAAAGAACTGTCTCCAGATTTGTTAGCCACGTCTGGTTTTTTCTGCTCGATATAAATATCAGCGCGGGTGTGTATTTGTTGGTCAATTGAGGCCAGCTCAATTAGAGGAGACGTATGGGTATTGAAACGGGGATAAACGATGTCGTACAGGTACAACTGATGATGCATCGGCAATGATCTGTAACGGGAAACCCGAGTTGGTGACGATATAGTCGATTTAACAATTTATAGAAAGAAGAAAGTGAAACTTAGTTACAACAAAGGGGTATTTATGTTTAAACATAAAGGTGTTGGTCTTACTTAATCCTCCCTACAATTTAACATAATGGAGTTAGGGTTTTGATTTGATTTGTGTTCATTATCCTGATTTGGCGCCCTATGGGCCCATGCAAGTGGCTATAAACCCATCTACATATTTATATAGGAGGACACCTCTCGGTGAAAACCCCCCAAGCTTTCTGATTTAGTTCTTAGAGTTTGCAGTTTGTCCTTCAGGAAGTACAGTTACATTGTAACGCCGTCGATGTGTACCAATCACGTCCCTTCTATCGACCCCAACCTTGTACATGTTCCGTCTCGTTCCCTGAGCAGCATTTCGACTGCATTTGTCAAGCGGAATTGTTCTATCCAACCATGATTAAGAATCCATCGTTTGATTCTTTTCATATGACTGGGATTGTTGGTCATAGCTTCAAAGGATCGATTTCGGGCTTGTCTCCAGATTTCTCCTCTACCAATTGACCACTTGGGGCAGGACATGATCATTTGCTTGGGATTTTGTGATTGGTAGCCACACGGACAGCATGGATTGTAGACTCCCGATATTTTCCTTCTGTGCAAATACGAATTGAGCCCGATATGCTCGCATCGAATTTGGATTGCTAAGCTACTTTGGGCTATCGTCAGGTTTTTGTGGAGAGAAAATGGCGACTCCCGGAAGCTTACTTTTGTACGCCCAGAATGGCGGCATTGGTATAAATTTGCTGCTGCCCAAGTTTTAGGCTGTTGAGTTCGCTTTGTGGATGATCAAGATTTAGTCCATTCCCGGTACGCAGCAACTCTTTTCGCTTCTTTTTGTAAGTCCTTGGATGTCTCCTCTCTGCAAATCTCTTTCCTGTATGCAAGGTCTGCTCTTCTATTATGTGGAGTCAGGGTTGTGGTTATTGGTTGCCTAGGAGTTAAAAAGGGTAAGGCGTCTGTTGATTTTACATACCCTGTATTAGTAGTTTCATATTAGCGTGTGGACGAGACTAGGAGCGATAAATTTTTTTTTTTTTTGCATCAGATTTTAATTGCGTATGCAGCTATCTAGCTATGACACAATATCAAAGAAAAGTACAGAATAGATGATTCAACGTATGGGAAGGGCACTCATGCCTCAGATTTCATTTGCCAGTACCACTGCGAAGTTATGGCGGCTTTTTCTTCACCCCAGGTCAACCCTCATCCGTGAATACCCACCCAAGGGAACGTCTCAAGAACTCTGAGTTATACAGATATACCTCCGTCATCCATCAGCTTTTCTCCGCGCGAAATGTGATCTTAGGTGTCTCCTTCCCAAGTGAAGTAGGTACCCAGGCTACTCAAATCATACCAGACACCACCACCAGGAGACGGACCACGGCACCTTCCATCATTGACTTGTGTTTATAGTGTCAGCTGCACTCTCGCAAGCGAAGTCTTGGCGCGTACAAAGCTCAATTCGTAAAACTCTCGGCAGAATTTGAAATTTCACGCCCGTCGAGAATGTATCCCTCTTTTGCATAATCTTGTAAACTTGTCCTGATCTCTCTCACGTTCATCCCAAAGAGCTATCTCCCAGATTTATGCTCCACGCTTTGCTTCTTCCGTCGGGTATAAATATCGGCGTGGGCGTGTATTTGGTGGTCAACTGAGACTAGAGAAGGTCAAAGAGAGGTGTGGTCATTGGGACGAGGATTTACTTGGTCGTACTTGTAGGCTTGATGAGATTTGAATAGGAGTTAAACTCGTTGGGAGCGAACAAAAGACGTGGAGGAGTAATTTGGATTTTGCTTCGTGTGCCAACTTCTTCGATATGTCGAAATTTGACTAAACTTGGCTCTGGAAGAATATTTCACTCCCAGGTTCGTAGAGGACACCGCGTACAGGTGTTCAGTCTTGCCTTCCCCTCTGTAGCTGTATCCCGCAGGCAAGTCATAAATTTTTTAGTCACCATGATAGGGCCAGTTTGGCAGAAACTGCAGCAAATTATGATACGGTCGGGCCGGCTTTCGTAAACTGAGAATATACCGATGCTAATCTTTAGTTTATCTAGTACGTCCTGGTACCCTTGGCTTGTTAAACATTTTGAATAGGATTATTACCAGTTACGCCAAGCTTTGCAGATCTTCACTTATGACTTCACGGGGTCGCGAGTTCGGATGAAGGTTTAACCGGATTCCAATCTTTAAATGCTTACTGTCTAGTAGCGGCAATTGAGATGAATGCAAGTAGACTCACAGCAGAGCAAATCAACTTTACACAAAGCTTGTACATTGGTTTAGTCTATGATGGAGACCGATGATACCATTCTAAAACGAGAGAATACTCCTTCAACTTCAACTTCAATATCGTCAATTCCAAACAAGCGTAGTCATGACGAAGATCATGGATCTGCTATTAATCCTGCCCTCAACCCCGAATTTCGAGCTCCCAAATCCCAGGAAGAGGCTCCTAGTACACAACGCGCCCTGAGGGTTAAGAGAGAATCATTAAAGAAACGAGAAGCTAAAAGCGCATCGAGCAACGACACAAGCACTAGGACCAGTCCCGAACGCGCTTCGAGTAAAATTAAAAAAGAGGATATAACCGAAATTGGTCCACTACGATATAAACTGGCCACGATTCCAACGTACTCAGACTTCAAGCCACCTCAGACTCCTGGGTTTACGGCCATCGAACGGAAAATAGCCCCCGATGGCACTCAGATTCAATTTTATGAAACATTCGATCAGTATGTCTTATCTTCAATAAAAATACTATTCTAAACTCTACATCCCCAGTGTATTTAATAAAAAGAGCTTTAATTATACGAGTGCCGTTCCAGATCCCATGTTTCGCCATTCCCTCCTTTTTCGCCAGTCGGAGACACCCCCATACACCGCCCGGTTTAGTCTTGAAGACAGTGCCTCGAATATATTGATTGATCAGGATGGAAAGCACGTTACTACTGAGAAAGGATGGAGGTCTGCAAAAGCTAATGTGTACATGCGGGAAGGAAGATGGTACTGGGAATGCAAAGTTACTTGTGGTATTCCTAAATTAGGAGCCGTAGATACAACAGGAACCTCTAGCCCACATGTTCGGATGGGGATTGGTAGACGTGAGGCTACATTAGATGGACCTGTTGGATTTGATTGTTACAGCTACGGGCTTCGTGACGTAGGCGGTCAAAAGATCCACATGTCTCGCCCTAAAGACTTCTTCGCAAAGGGCGAAGAAATACGGGAAGGAGATGTAGTTGGTTTTGAAATCAACCTTCCGTCTGAGGAAATCCACCGCAAAGTTGTTAATGGAACATATAATCCAGAGGCTGATAACAATGAGCAGTATAAGCCAAGGATAGAAAAAGCCGACATTATTCGCGACCGAGCCGCTATAAAGATAAAAGACTATTGGGTATTTGAACAAGCAGCCTATGCCCCAGGCAAGGAATTGGAAGATTGGTACTCACCAGCTCCAACTTCTTTCAAGCACGCAATGCAGCCCTGCCCTAAACACCCACTGGTTCCTTTGCGGACTCTTCCTCAATCAAGTATCAAGGTGTTCAAGAATGGTAAGCTCATAGGTACGGCCTTCGAGGATCTTTTTGCTTTCCTTCCACCCGCCTCTAAACCAGCTGTTGTAAAAGACATGTTTTTTCGGGAGGGTCTTGATGATGGCACATTAGGTTACTATCCAACAGTGTCAGTATTTCAAGGTGGATCTGCTGAGGTCAATTTTGGTCCCGAATATTGGTTTCCTCCTAAATTTGAACAAACCGATAACAAAAAAGATGTATCAGAGAATAATCACCTTGAAACGGATGCTCAACCCACTGTTAGATCATTAACTGAACGTTATGAAGAACAGATAGTCGAGGATATTGTCGCTGATCTTATTGATGAAGTCTATTTCTGGCTATTGGACGGAGGAGCTTCTGGTACGGATGATGCAAGTCTAATGCTTCACACAGGAATTCAACTACCCAACAGTGCTTCAGATTACCGTTTAGAGCCAATAATTCATGAGGAATAGTTAAACTTATTAACTGAAAATAACGTCTCTGATTGTGACGAAACCAAGCTGGTTGTAGTGTACTTCTAGAAAGATTAAACTATATGAAGAGAGAAGTACCACAACTACGGGCAATGAGTATTTGTACATCCTTCTAGCTCATCCAGTACGTACTCTGTTGGTGAGAATGACATATTGCTCCGCCACTGCCCGTCGTCATCTTTGCCATCTAGCTGACTCTCTCACTTGGCAATTCTACTTCGCCGTCTCAAATTCCTTCATGGCTCAAATGTAATGTGGCCAAGTGAAACTTAGTCGCTTGATACAAGATAATATGTAACACTCTCCCTAATACGCCCCCAAACTCCGCTTAGGTCTCCACCTAAGCCAAACCACGGTCAAACCGTAACACTAATGGTCTGCTAACCCATGAAACTCTCTATAATATACTTAATAGGACCTTATCGTGTCCATGATAGGGCTTTATTAAAGCTGTACGTAATCCTTCAGAAAATTGCTTTCTTTTTAAGGTGACAAGCAGCAAAAAATTATGGTAGATCTCGCCCCTCCCTTATTCTCAGAGTAATTATCTTGGAGTCCTATAAAAATCTGACTGTAATAATAATTCAGCTCATATTTAAGAACCTATGCATTCATATAAAAGATCAAGAGGTACGATAATAAGAGAAATCAATTTACTGTAAAGCAGAAACTGCGATAAAGTCATTATATGTGTAAACGTGACGTAAAAAGGATCATCGAACAGAAATTTGCTCCTATGAAAAGAGATGTCTTAGTAATGTGTATCTCGTAGCAGATTTATCAGAAGTTTTTTAAATCAAATATAGTTATAAATACGATTGAATGCCAATAAGTGACGAAAACTCTAGATCTATGGACTTTTGGCCCAAGGACTGATTAATATTTTATCTGACTTATCAGAAATGGAAAGATGATGGGGATTGGTCTTACAGGATTTCTCGAGTAGGATTGGGTTTATTAAAGAGATAAATGATAAATTTGTTAGAATTCAGAATAATAGGGACTATCAAGGGGGCACTATTCTCAACACCTGTCAGCGGTGTCCCCTACGAACCTCCAGCTCTCACTGTGGAGTCTGCAGAGCCGAGATTGAGTAACAAAGTTCTCACTTCGGTGAGAATTCCCAATCGCTTTCGCCATCTATGTCGTCTTCATCTCTCAACACATCCCCATATCACCATAATCATGAAACTAACCACGATCAGATCAGATGGTAGGGTCGAAGCCCTTCTCGTCACCCATCCTTGCTCACCGAGGAGAAGCCATCCCATGAGTTTCTGCAGCGTACCCAGCACCCGATACGGAGATGGTGGATTGGATCAAGTCGGCATCTACTGTTACAAAGAAGGGAGATATAGATGAATATGCGCAGCTCATGCGGTCCCGGTGCCTATGTCCCGGTGCCTAGGTCTCGCCTGGCTGGGGCTGCAGGTTTTTTGAGCCTTTTTCCCGCGCACGCAGTTTCCACTGCTACCATTTTTTTTTTTGGGTAGAAGGTTCCGTGGAAAAGGTGGCCGAATTCCACGGGTAGATACTGAGCTGAATGGCTATTCATCGAGGGGAATATATCGATGATCTTTCAAGAAACATGAGAGGCAAGGAGCACTATACAAGGTGTGGCCTGGGTCAGAGAGGAGCCCAATGTGCTAGATAGTCATAGACTCAAGTAGTACAATAAATGCACACACGTACATCACTATGGACAGTGGAAAATAAGCTTCCACCTAAACTACAGACCTATCATCTTGGAATTAGAGATCTTCTTCTACGGTTGACCATCTGTCTGTTGGTATCACAGGTAACGATTGGATCCAATCAAGGGGTCTGATTTCAGTATATGTGAATGATGTCTATTCTTTCCAACTAAGGAGATGGCGATGCTGTATCTATATGATTACATAATTAAACTAGAATTACACGTGATTACGCCAGTTCTACAGATATACTCCAAACACTGGCAGTTTTTCTCTTTTGAGAATAATTTCATAATTGTTGCCAAATCATAAATCGCAGATCATATTTGTCTAAGGGTAACATTTCACCTACTCATGTAAACTAAGCTAGACAGGTCACATGACCTTCATAGCAGTACATAGATTTCATCTGTAGCTATAGGGCTCATTAAACAAACCTGCGACTATTTGCTCGAGCGGTGAAGCTCCGAAAAGTAGACCACCAGCCCCCACTCCAGGTGTGTTCTCGTTGCCACGCGTTCCACAATGTCAATAGATGCACTCGCCGCCCTCGGTGTGGGACATGCGCCGCGGATTTCCACGTCGGGCCCTGCACCAGACCAGAAAAATGCCTTAACTGTGACGTACCTCATCCATCATTTTCTTTAGGCTGCCCCGCGCGACCCATCCGCGCCAACGGAAGCTTCGTCCGCCCTGATAAAACTAGACTCCGAGCTATCCGAAGCGAGGGCCTAAAGGCCTGGACCGCACTACACCCTCCAATCTCTCCCCAGGCCGCTGCGAGCTCCGGGAACTATCAAGTTCCTACCCAACCCACAAGAATCGTCTCCCCCTCTCCTCCACAAATTGGACAAGAGTCACGATACTCCGCCCTCGAACTTGCCTCTAAAAGCGGAGCAGATCTAGTACTAATTCAAGAACCCTGGATAAGTACTGATCTCTCGCGCAAGTTAACTAAAAATCACCCAGAATACATTTCTTTCTCTCCCCTTCCAATCTGGACCAGCCGGCCTCGCGTAATGACCTACACTCGCAAGGGGTGCGGCCTTTCACCTTTCCAACCCAGTATTCACTCACGCGACCTTCTCCGGATTTGCGTCTCTCGACGCGGAAAGCGTACCATTGACTGCTGGAATATATACAATGCTCCAATAGGCGCGGTTGGCGCTGGGGATGGCCTTCAGCTTCTTCTCAACCTTTCTGATATCCCAGACGTTTTAGCTGGTGACTTCAATATCCACCACTCGGCCTGGGATCCAGCAGCGTATAACGAAAATTCGGAAGGCGACTCATTACTCGAATGGACAACTGCAAGGGGAATAACGTTGTTGAATGTATACTATGCCCCCACTCATGATGCCGGCGCTACTATCGATCTTTGCTTCGCACGACAAAGTCTCAACGCATCTGTAACGGCTGGTAAGCCGATTGGTCCCTGTAGCCTATGTTGGTTAACTTAGGCCTGATTCGAGTGGCGTTATTAATGGCTACCAATGCGCTAATATGCGACGCCACCCAATGCAATACTTTTGCGTCGGCATTTGCAATGGTATTCACATGGCATCGGACTCGGCAGTGCGGCACGGCAGTACGGCACTGCACCACATGTTGATAGGCTTACACTGACAGGGAATATACGAGACCGAGTACAATCCTTCCGGACCATAACGCGATAGTGCTGTATTACAGGCATAGTCAGAACACTAGGGGAGTCCCATAGCATAGGAACAGGAGAGGGATTAGCCTTGGTGGCGAGGAGGCTTTCACGTATATAAATGAATAGATAGATGTAGTGGAAGTTCTCTCCTTAGAATTATTATTTACTACCATCGACCACATAGTTGCCCCAGCACTTGTCCCTCGAAACTGTGACAGCATCTTGTGCTATCCGAAACGACTTGGAAGTCGGGTCAGACCACAGAACTCTACTAACTCAACTTTCAGACACAGGACCTGAAAGAGATACCTCTGGAAAACTCAGATACTCTGCTTGCAACTGGGTCACCTTTCGTAAAATTATCTCCGACAGACTAGTGGCCGCACCCTCTTCAGACCCAGAGAGAGAAGCTTCTTTCCTGGTAGATGCTCTCCAAGGTGCTCTCAACGCTACGTGTCCCAGAAAACGTACACAGGGACCGCGAAATCGATGGTGGACCAGGGACTGTACAAACGCGCACAACGCACTCTGCCAAGCCAAGCGCTCGGGATCAGTGGCCATCGCTGAACGCCGCGCCTTTGGCAAGGCGGTGAAAAAAGCTAAGCGAGAAATGTGGCGCGAGAAAGTAGATCAGGTCTCTTGTCTCACAGAAGCGTATAGGGTCTCAGGGATGAGGGTTTGACGGTGTTCCACGGGGTGCGTTGTATAGCCTAGTGAAGATCTAGGTGGTAAGTGAAGATTATAAATGGGTCAAAGGGATGACAGGTCTTCTCTAGGAAGAGATGAATGGGCAACTAGTTGCAGTAGATGTTACACGTGGGTCTTGCTGTTGAAGAACTGGGCAATGAATATATGGTCTTCCCGAGGAAGAGATGGGTAAACAAATGTATTGTAAAGGGTAAATAAAGAAGACGTTGCGTGAGAAGTAAATCTCTCTCACGCCGAACTATTATATATAAGAGTAGAAGCCTTTGCCAGCCGGAATTAATCATAATCAATTCTTGCCAATATCTTCGCATTAATGGCTGTGTTCTTGTCCTTCTCTTCATGACTCTCTTGCATATCCTTACATGACTTTTTACACGACTAATTGTATAGGGGAAGCTATTATTAAATTGATGATTTTAATTAACTACCCCTTCATCTTATCACGAATTAATATTAGTATTAAAATTCTATTTACGGATCCGTGAAATAGGGTTACAAGCTGGCATAAGAAAACACCCTGTTTTCATACCCCTCCACTCAATGGCCCAGACGGACTCGTCTTCACTCCCATGGCCAAGGCACAACTACTTGAGGGGGCTCTACTGAGTAGGCACATCAAGCATGAGGATATAGTCATGGGAATTCCAACTGTTGCAAGAAGAAGCCTCCCGTGGCCTGCACTAACTAACCAGGAAATCTTCAGATCGTGCTGCGTAGTCTCCTCATCGTCCTCCGGACTAGACGAGATAACCGCAGAAGCGCTAAGACAAGCGTGGCCAGTTTTAGGGCCCCGAGTGACCGATTTGTTCCGTCTGTGCGACCTGCAAGGACTACACCCAAATGCCTTTAAAAAGGCCAGCATAATTATTCTCCCGAAGACAGGCAACCGAAACAAAGCTCTTCCCAAGTCTTACCGACCA